GCGTAGAATGCGAAGAAGCGTAGTACGCGTGGTGTGGACCTCCAGCTTTAAGGTGGCTCTTCGCGTATGTCAGTTTTATACCAATCGTGTAAACACAAAAAATATAAATCATACGACTTTTATTCTCTTTTATGTCTTACGGATGGAATTTCATTTTACTTTTTCATTAGACTTGTCGTACGTAAAGTGTGTTCGTCTGAAGGTACCTTAAGTGATTCGCAGTGTATTTAAAATTGTACATTGGTGTACCATTGTAGTTTTGTAAGTAAATACTTACATACATATATATAATGTTATATGTAAGACATTATAAGACTCCTTCTAGGTAATGCAGACGGTATATTGTCATTGAAAAGTAAATTGTTGTCATTACCATGTTTTGCTGGATTGTGATAACACCTTATTTCTATCTTTCTAAGCTTAATCCTCAAGACCTTATGTTTTCAATCATAAGAAATATTTGTAAAAAAATGTTGAAATTATTTTCATAATGACTGATTCATCGTCGTTTAGCCCAAACCATTAAAGCTAGAATCAGAAATTTTTGGTACTAGGTTTCTTTGGCATTGTATAGATCCACTAAGATATGATTTTTGAAACTGGAACGTTCAGGGGATGAAATGGGTAAAAAGGGGTTAAAATTGGTTTATTTCAGAAATTTGCTGTTGGTGCGTGATGTTTTTGATCCAAAATGATCCAAAAAAATTATATTTGTTACTTATACATAATTGGCCATCACGTAGTGGTATGACAAAAGTTTCGCCAAATTTAGTTATATCCCTAATTTACATTAAACAAAATTATTTTCAAAGTGGATAATTTTAATCAATTATATTATAGACCTTTACGTTCATCTTGAAGACCAACCATGAGAGATCAAAGATCATTAGTTTTTTACGAATATCTCACTTTTTATATGTAGTACGCATTTTTAGAAGAAAATCTAACAATTAGTTGAAACGATAACTTCGTCCCCATTGTGCGGTATATAACAAGACTTTTTTACTTTTAACCTTATAAATAATAAAACGACCTTAAATCTAAATAACTTCTCAGTAAAAATATTTTGTGTAAAAACAATCAATAAGTTAACAAAATAAAATTTCTCTTTTTGCAACAATTAAATTTAAACATGACCCCAAAATAAATAAAAACAACATGATAAATAAAACCATTATCATCATCATCAACAAAAGGTATTAAATCGATAAATGTTTTTGCTGAATGAAATTTTGCCGTCTAAAACTGATGAATGAAGATGAAAATGTACATCAAACGAATAGAGAAAATTTACAATTTCAACAACAACAACAAAATAAAGATATTAATTAACCGCAAAAGTCTGCATGAAAATGTCTATAACTTGTGTCTGTGTGTGTGAGTTTTACTTTAAAATACGAAACGCAAAACATCATCAATAGACATCAATGACAATACAAATCAGGGTTGATAGAAAATTTAGCGGGTTAAAGGGAACTACAAAGCTTTAAGATTTAAATCTGCATAGTGGGGCTATTGTTTTCAAAAAGCCCTTAAATTTTTCATATTTAAATACAAGCATATTATGTCAATTAAATTTTTATTAGTTTTTTACGGTTCAGACTTGGTTTTCAAAGTTGCTGGGTATTTGAAATTTGGGATTATGATATTATCCCTTTTAATTAAAAAAATTAACGATTTGAAATCGGAAAATATGTATATTTTCTATATTTTATGTAGGTATTCTTAATCCTTATAGGGATGGAAATGCAATGTCCGCTTGTCTATATAAGTTAGTTGACGTCAATTTCCTGAAGATTTCAGATTTCTTTAGGATCTAAAACTTATAGGTACCACACATGTTATTTTCCTATATTTTTGGATATTTTAAATGGTAGGTAGGATTGGTAATACGTATTGCCCTTCATTTGATGTTCATAGAGCCTAGGACAAGATCTACATATGTATGTATGTATGCTTAGACGTTTCACTGATTTCTTTATTAACCTAAAATTAATAAGTTTGTTACAAAACTTTCCAACACTTTACCCACGGCTTTTGTAGTTTTAACAAAAATCTATGAATTTCCTACAAGTATTTAAAAACATTCACAAACACAGCAGACTCATATAAAAATCCTTGAATTTTAAAAATCACAAACCCTAGTAACATGTGATTATATTTTACAAATATAATGTCACTGAAGGCAATAATTTAATGACTTTAAAAGAAGTAGAAAAAAATCTAAAAAAAGAAGGTTATTAAAAAACGTTAATGGAATTCTATACAGAAACTCATAAACTTAAAAAAGAGGTACCTACATAAAAAAGCACATTGTAAACGAAAAATTCAAAAAAAGAAGTTGAACAAATAGTAAAACCAACTGTTTAACACATGAAAAAAATATCACAAAAAAACTCAAACAAGAAATCAGATAAAAATCTTTTAACTGTAAACAGCAACAAAAAATACAACAAACATGCACACGCCCCATTAACCATTTAAGCTGAAAAAAAAAGAAACAAAAGCAAAGCATTATTAGCAACAACAATTCAATTCACAACACTGCACAAAGCAACAAAAAACCACACATTCAACCATACTCTTGCATACTCCACAAAAAAATAAATTTTAAACAAAAGCCAAAGAACGTTAGCCAATCAGAATAGAGCACCATTTATATCACAAAAAAACATGCAAACAAACATGAAGTATTTTATGTAGCTTTGTTTTTGTAATCGTTAAAAATGAAATTTTCTGATTGGTGGTAAGTGAGTGTGTGTTGCAGAGTGTAGTGTTAATATTGAGATTCGCGGTGTTTGATAAACGTGCCTCTTTGTTATACGATTGTTGTTGTTTTGGAGGGGAAAGGGGGAAGAGAGGGGAAGAAGGGAAGAGGAAGGGTGGGAAAAGGAAGGGCGAGGGGAAGGGGAACGAACGCGAAACGGAATCGAACGAACGAACGACGAACGAAACGAACGAAACGAACGAACGAACGAACGAACGAACGAACGAACGAACGAACTAACGAACGAACGAACGAACGAACGAACGAACGAACGAACGAACGAACGAACGAACGAAGAACGAACGAAAGAACGAACGAACTAACAACGAACGAACGAACGAACGAACGTAACGAACGAAAGAACGAACGAACGAACGAACGAACGAACGAAACGAACGAACGAACGAACGAACGAACGAACGAACGAACGAACGAAACGAACGAACGAACGAACGAACGAAACGAACGAACGAACGAACGAACGAAACGAACAACGAACGAAAAACGAACGAACGAACGAACGAACGAACAACGAACGAAAACGAACGAACGAACGAACGAACGAAAAACGAACGAACAACGAACGAACGAACGAACGAACGAACGAAACGAACGAAAAGAACGAACAAAGAACGAACGAACGAACTAACGAACGAACGAAAACGAACGAACGAACTAAACGAACGAACAACGAACGAACGAACAACGAACGAACGAACGAACGAACGAAAACGAAAACGAAACGAACGAACGAACGAACGAACTAACTAACTAACGAACAACTAACGAACTAAACGAACGAACTAACTAACTAACTAACTAACGAACTAAAAACTAACTAACTAACAACTAACGAACTAACTAACGAACTAACTAACTAACTAACTAACTAACGAACTAACTAACTAACGAACTAACGAACTAACTAACTAACTAACTACTAACTAACTAACTAACTAACTAACTAACTAACTAACTAACTAACTAAACTAACTAACTAACTAACTAACTAACTAAAGGCGACCGAAATTTCGATTGATATATATATACTTTTGCTCTAGATCTTGCAATGAGGCCTTTTGGAATGTGTAAAATTGAAAATTTATAAAATTTATATTGTATATCCTCTTGTCCATTTAAGCCAGGATTACAAGGTTTGTCAAATTGTGTTGTATCACAAAATTAGCTATGTGGTTTCAATATCCAAATACAAATTCTAAAGATTCGAATTCAGGCCAACTAAAAACATTAGAAAAGTATACTCTTGGTCTCAAAGTAAAACCTTTGTTGGCCTGAAATTAATTAGATATGCGGCTAAAACTGCATTTGTATGTACATACCTATGTATGTATGTATTTTTGAAAATTCAGAACAAGAAGTCTAATAATTCCTATAGGGTTTTCCCATTTAACTAAGATTTTAATTGTGAGAAAAAACAAATTCTATTGATTAATTAACCGTTATTTGCATATTACCACTAAGAGAATTATAAAATAAATAATAATTTAAGAGAGAGCCACAAAATTCTAAGAGCGAGAGTTAAAACACAGGGATTAAGTAAAATAATTTTATTCATTTTGTTTTTGTTATTTTTTTTTTTTTTTTTTTTTTTGTTCATTCTTTAACACACAAAATTCTTATCAACAGAAAAGTTTAGCTATTTGTTGTTTTTGTAGGCAATAGCAACAATTGTGTATCTGTGAGTACGAAACAAACGAATGTATTTCAAATTTACTTGCTGCTGTGTTGTAGGTGTGTGTGTGTAAATGTTTGGATTTCAGTTTTTTTTTGCACTCTGAGCTCCTCAGTACGTTTCAGAGTTTGTTGTTTAATGGTTAAACCGATGCTGGTGGCCAGGTTAAGTGCCAGTAACACTTTGATAAAGCGCGCGTGAGCACTTGTTTTTTAAAACGAGTTAATTTTTTTTATAAAAAAAATTTAAAGAAAATTTTATAAAAAACCGGAAACCGGAAATTATAAATTAAGAGCAAATTTTAACAATTTTCAAAAATTGTGATAATAATCAAATTGTATAAAAAAAACGTACAAAAACGGAAGTGTAGTGTTTTTTATAAAAAAAAGTTTTTTTAATTGTTTAAAAATATACAAAAAAGAATTTTAAAGAAAATTTTAAGTTTAAAATAAATTTTTAAAAAATAAAATTTTATACATTGATTGCAAAAATATATTAACAAAAAATTAAGTTTTGTTATAAAATTACTATTAAATTTTTTGTTAAAAACAAAAGAAATCAATTCAAAACAAATTAACCAAAAAAGAAAATAAACAACAAAAATCACAACAACAAATTGTTGACATACAACAACGTGTGTGCATGAATGAATGGATTCTCCCGAAAATTGAACCGGTCTGTGTTGAGTTTTAAAACAAAAACGAAAACCAAGTTTAATATTCACCTAATTTCTGCGAACTCATTAAAATACGCGCTAAGCTTCGCACAATCTCAAACATACACACACGCACACTCATGTGTAAAGTATGTTTAAAAATTTAAAAAAAAGTGTTCGATTTTAACGTTTATTTAAAACACAACAAAAAATTAATAAACAAAAAATACTTTATAAACGCAACAACAACGTGGTTTAAATTTTAAAACTATAAGCAGCGGACTTTTGTACCGTCAAAACATAAATGAGTCATTAAAACTAAAAACAAAAATTTCTCATAATAGTTTGTTCAAAAAAAGATTTAATATTTAAAAAACAACTTGGCTAAGAACCTTCTACCCCAAAAACCATTAACATTTATCTTAAGGACTAAAAAATAAAAACCGTCAAAATAGCTCCCAACAATTTCTTAACACAGCGAATGCATTTAACCTCCAGTACCGTTAATACTCATCAATACTCCGGTTCATCTTTAAATCCAGCAGGAAATCTATTAAATTCTTCTTTATTGGGTGGTAGCATCACAGCTACTGGTGCTACCACCACTTTAGCAGCAACTGCCTCCTCTAGTAATTGTCACTCATCGAACGGTTCACCTTCAACAACAACAACAACACCATCATCCGTATATTTATCGCCGGCCTCTTTGCCCTCATTAACAACAACTGCCACCGCCAATATGGTGATTTCTTCGTTACCTCCTGCTTCTTCAGTGCACCATCATCATCATCACTTACATTCACATCCTACGCACCATCAGCATCATCATACCACACACTCCCACTCTGCCTCACATCCGCCACAACATTGGAATACCGAGGTAGGGAGTATGGCGTCCGATACTATAGTGGCCAGTAGTTCGGCGAGTATTGGTAGTAATTCGCCAAATGGTGGTGCTAGTAATGGTACAGTGAATAGTAATAATAGTACAAATAATAACAATAACAACAATAGCAGTAGTGGCAACAATAATAGTAGTAGTGGTGGTAATAATAATAACAACAATAATGTTATACACCAGGATTTGGCTTGGCTAGAACGTTCAGTTTTACAAGCCCAACAACAGTTTCCAAATGAATTGGGTAAGTAGTTCGGCAATATCTAAACTTAATACAACATCAAAAAAATCCAACCCTACTCTAGGTGGTGAAATTTTTGGCTAATAGAGATCATTTTGAGAAAATTCCATCCGCTTCTATATCGCTGACGGTCCTAGTTATGTCCGCCCATCTGTCTGTCCGGTTAATTTTTTTAGATTGAAAATTGTTAAAAGTTTCAGACTATTCTGAACTTTAAAAGTTCATCAACCAATATTTCCATGTTTTAAAAATGGAATTAACAACACTAGTAGTGAGTGATCCGTCGCCTAGTTTCAAAAGAGTGAAAACACATTTATTTTTTGCACATAAAACATTAATTTTGTGTTATTTTTTATTACTGTACCGGCTTCTAAAAGAAAGCAGGCCGTCGCTTTCGTAAAAAAATTGTTGGTCGCATTACAAAAAGTTTATTTCTTTTAATATTTTTTTAATTTGAGTGCTATTTCACAAAGGAATTATAACTTTTTCTGAAACTAAGATAATTATTCTCTAATTTTATTTGGAACAAGTATATTAATATCTTTAGGTAGGTAGGTAGGTCGATAGGAGGATGTATACTACATCACATCCGAAGAAATACACCTAGGCCACTATCGAGCCTGTTGTGCGCTCCTTATCATGAAAAAAAGAAAAAAAAACTGAAAGAATTATTTTTCAGTGTTCAGAAACTCAGTTTCCTGAACGTAATTCCTAAGAATCTTCCAATCAGTGTTAGTCAGGAATGTTATTTCCGGAATAACATCACTTCCAAGATACTTGGATCTAACTTCGACGAATGCCTGGCAGTGGCAAAGAAAGTGCTCCAGAGTTTCACTGTCCTCTCCACATGCTCTACATTCGTCTGAAACCGCACGTCCAATTTTGCATAGATGTAGTCCTGTGTGTCCACTCAGAATACGTACCATCATACTAACTTCAGACTTGCTCATTTTGAGGAGATTTTTCGTCTTGCTCTCATCGGGGTCACCCCATAGGATCTTCGTGGTTCTACCCACTGTTTCATTATTCCAAGAGGGCTTATGGAATTCTCTCACCCATATTTTTAGTTCAGCTTTTGTTGCGTCGAATGGTTTTGCGTTTGTCAGGTTAACTGCCTCGAGCTCCCTTCCCTTTAATATCTTTAAAAAGATATATTTTTACTTTAAGTTGTCCAATCTGTATGCCATCTAAGTAATGCCTTATCAAACTCAAATAAAAACCTTTCCAACCAGGACTTCAAATCTTAAAAGCTAAAATTTCCTTCTTGTTGAGACAGTAATTTTATAAAAAACTAATCAGCTTTTACTTCTTTAAAATTTTAATATAATGATCTTTGTAACTTTTGAAAGAAATATTAGATATTTTGAAATTTAGACTAGACTATAGACTAGACTATAGACTAGACTATAGACTAGACTATAGACTAGACTATAGACTAGACTATAGACTAGACTATAGACTAGACTATAGACTAGACTATAGACTAGACTATAGACTAGACTATAGACTAGACTATAGACTAGACTATAGACTAGACTATAGACTAGACTATAGACTAGACTATAGACTAGACTATAGACTGGACTATAGACTAGACTATAGACTAGACTATAGACTAGACTATAGACTAGACTATAGACTAGACTATAGACTAGACTATAGACTAGACTATAGACTAGACTATAGACTAGACTATAAACAAGACTATAAACTAGACTATAGACTAGACTATAGACTAGACTATAGACTAGACTATAGACTAGACTTTAGACTAGACTATATACTAGACTATAGACTAGACTACACAGAAAAAAATATGCACATTTTTTTTCTTAACAATCGTTTGCTTAAATTTAATTTCGATTTTTATAAAAATTTTTATTTGGTTTTATAACGAATTTGTTTGATTTTCACGCAGAAGGAAAATATTTTCTAACAAACACTTTATTGAAATAAATTTAATTTTCAGTAAATATTTTTACTGGTTCAATAAATGTTTTTGTTTGAGTTTTATTTATATGTCAGCATATGGAATATAACAATAAAACTAGTTTTGGAATGTACTAAAATGAATTGATATAATTCTTACTTGGTTTATAACATTTAATGTATAAGTGTTTCAGTTTTCACAGTACAAATAATAGTTTCTAGAATGTGAAATAAATTTGTTGTAAGTATATAAGTACTTTTTTCTACAAATTTTAATTTTATAGAATTAGTAAAATTTTTGTTAAAATTCAATATATATTTTTTAACAAAATTTTTATAGATTCAATAAGGAATTTTGTGTATTATTATTGCCAAAATACAATTAATAATTTATCTGTTTCAGATAAAATAATTCCTTGAATTTCAGTACAAATACAAATAATTTGCGTTATTGTTTAAGTAAAATAATTGTTTGGAAATGTTGCGAATATTTATTAATGTTTTTCGTAAATAGTATATTATTTTAATAAGAAAAATCCTGAAATTTTTTCAATAAAGAATTTACGAATTTGAGTACTTGATTTTACGAATTTCGTGATAGGTCCAATTTTAGTTAAAAAAATACTTGGCTTTATGAATTTTTTGTTTGATTTTGAATTTCATTTTTTTCTGTGTATAGACTAGACTGTAGACTAGACTATAGACTAGACTGTAGACTAGACTATAGCCTACACTATAGACTAGACTATAGCCTACACTATAGACTAAACTATAAACAAGACTATAGACTAGGCTATAGACCAGATTGGTCCATAGACTAGACAGTCTACACCCTCCCTATGGACTGCACAATAGGGTAATCTATAAACTAGACACTAGTATTTTGTCTAGTCTATAGAGTAGTTAGACATTAGAGTAGAGTATTGACTGGTCTATAGATTAGAATAGATTATATTATCCCAAAGGCAAATTCATAGAGTAGTCTATAAACTTAATAATATAATAGTCTATAGACTAGACTCTAAAGACAAGATTCAAAGACTAGTCCCTAGACTAATTTGTAGACCAGACCATAGAAAATTTATTAGACTCGTCCAAAGTCTAGTAAAATGTACTTTAAAACTCTATTCAAAATTGCACTTAAAAGACCCTTAAAATTATTTGCAATTGGATAAAAAAATAATCCTGATATTTTTAAATTTATATCTTTTCTATTTTCATTTGCTTTATTCGCAAATATAGTAGTTTAATCAGCGCCTCAAATTCGAAACTCACATAAAGGACTTAAAAAGTAACACTCCTTAAATAACTGTCCCATAAAAATTCCCCGTCTATTGAACATTTCATTCATTCCATTATTTCTTTTAAACCTGCTCCTTCAATAAGTAAGTAATCAAAACTTTAAAAAATAAAATCCTGTTTTTTTAAACAATACTTTTAATATGATATTCTTTTAACATGTTCGTACACTTTCAATCATGCTCATTTCAGTGACTTGTAATTAAAAACCAACGCATGCCAAAAAATCTCAATCAAAGTCAATCTTAAATAAACTCAATAAGGTTTCTCTTCACAAACTAAAAAAAAGAAACATGAAAAAATCCTTTCACACACTATGTCTATGTACAAAACAAAAAAGGATACAACTTTCATTCAAAAATTAGTGTCAAGTTAATAAATATTAAATTAAGTATTGAAGTTGAAGCTAACGTATCAATGTCAACACATTTAAATCATTGGAGTGTAAAATTATGATCGTAATGATCGACAAGAGGGCAATATAATGACAAGTATGAAGCAGAAAGTTTTGAAAGTGTCTATAAAAATGATGAGGTTCGCTTTTGAGAGCAGACGTTATTAAAACTCGTAACAAATAGTAGTTAGTTCGCATAAATAATGTACAAAATTAGCATAAATAGGATAAAATTAAGTGATCTCTTCATTTTGACGATCGCTTTGTGTTTATCCTGCTGGAAACTAAGAAGTATTGAAGAAAATCTTATGTATTTGGATTAAATTTGTTATTAATTTCATTTATTTTCCCTTCCTCTCTTTACAGTACGCACCAGTAATCCCTATTTCCTCTGTTCGGCCCTACCCACCCATTGGCGTTCCAATAAAACCCTGCCGATTGCCTTTAAAGTAGTGGCCCTGGTGGATGTGGGAGACGGCACGAATGTGTATATCAGGGCCGGAAATGATGAAAACTACTGTGCCGAATTGCGTAATGAGAAGACAACCATGAAAGATCAAGTGGCTAAATTTAATGATCTTAGATTTGTGGGACGTAGCGGTAGAGGTAAGTTGTTAATTTGAAATTTTTACAAAAGAAAAAGAGATGAATGAATTTTTTTGGTTCATACTTGTTCTCAAGTAAATATTTTGCATATTGATCTTCACGTCATTTGTAAGTTTTCTTTTGTTTTCGGGGGGAAATTGTTCACTTCAGAAGTTCACTCACAGAAGTCGTCACATTAACCCTGCTTGTTTATGGCCTTAGGTCAGCATGCAATCATGGCCAATGTTCACAGAAAAGAAAAAAACAAACCAAGTCGTTGCCAAGCTTAAGTTCAATGCTTCCTTAAAATGTATTTTATTTTGTGAATTTTAAATGAATGATCATTTTAGTAGAGTTCAGGCATGGAAACTTGAAATTTTAAAATAGTATTAATTTTAACCAGAAAGTTAGGGAAGTCAGTCTACTTATGGACGAGTCCATTTACTAGTCTACGAATTAGTCTACTGTCTAGTCTATTATCAATTCTATGGATTATACTTTGGACTGGTATATTGTCTAGTCTATGGATTAGTTAATCGGTTTGTTTATTAGCTAGTTGTACTTAGTACTTTCTAGCCTAGTTGATTAGAAATTACTTTACTGTTTTTTTCTCCTGGTCCATTAACTAGACTATGGATTAGTCTACTGACTTGTTTATGGATTAGTCTTGTGGAATCGCCTAGTGACAGCTTTACTTATTGGCGAGTCCACTAATTAGTCTACAGATAAGTCTACTATCTAGCCTATTATCTAGTCTATGAGCTATGCTTTGGACTAGCCTATTATCTAGTCTATGAACTATGCTTTGGACTAGCCTATTATCTAGTCTATTGACTAGTCTAATATCTAGTCTATGGACTAGGCTTTTGACTAGTCTATGGACTAGTCTATGGACTAGTCTTTTGACTAGTCTATTAACTATTCTATTGTCTACTATTTGATTAATATATTGTCTAGTCTATTGACTAGTCTAATATCTAGTCTATTGACTAGTCTATTATTTAGTCTATTGACTAGTCTAATGTCTAGTCTATTGACTAGTCTAATGTCTAGTCTATTGACTAGTCTATTAACTGGTTTATTGACTAGTCTATTAACTAGCATTTTGACTAGTCTATTACCTAGTCTAATGTCTAGTCTATGACTAGTCTTTTAACTAGTATATTGACTAGTCTATTGTCTAGTATTTGACTAGTATATTGTCTAGTCAACTGTCTAGTCTATTGACTAGTCTAATGTCTAGTCTATTGACTAGTCTATTATCTAGTCTATTGACTGGTCTAATGTCTAGTCTATTGACTAGTCTAATGCCTAGTCTATTGACTGGTCTATTGGCTAGTCTATTAACTAGTCTATTAACTAGTCTATTAACTAGTCTATTAACTAGTCTGTTAACTGGTCTATTAACTATTCTATTAGCTAGTCTTTTGACTAGTCTTTTATCTAGTCTAATGACTAGTCTAATGTCTAGTCTATTAAGTAGTCTATTGTCTAGTCTATTGACAAGTCTATTAACTAATTTGTTGACTAGTCTCTTAACTAGTCTATTGACTAGTCTTTGGACTAGTGTAGGAACTAGTCTATGGAAGAGTACTTAGATTAGACTACTGACTGGTTTACTGACTAGTCTATGGTCATCTCTATTGACTAGTCTGCGATCTTGTCTATTATATAGTTTATGATATAGTGTGTTGACTGATCTATTGACTAGTTTATGGAATAGTGTATGGACAAGTCTTTTGACTAGTCTAAGGAGAAGCCTATATCTGCACTATTCTATTGGCGAAATTATTGAGCAGTCCATGGATAACTATATTAACTAGTCCTACTACAATAGTAGTAACTTTTCCATCCCTGGCAAATATCATTTGTGAAGCGTGTTTGTATGTAAGACAGTAAGTTACACAGCAACTGACATCATTTTAGGGCATAAAACTGCTCTCTATCTCTCTTTTATTAAGGTCTCATGTCATGAACCATAAGAATCAACTCATTTATCCAAGAAAAAAGCGTGTAATACAGCAAAGGACCTTTTACACATTATTGGCACTTTACTACTCACAAAAGCCAAAGATCATGTTCCTCACAATGATCGTTATATTTTTGATCTTATTTTTTTTTTTGCTTAGCACGCAATATCATGTACTTTTTTTCCAAAGTTCATTATAGACATTATATTTATTGTATAATCGATTTAAAAATACTTTATATTTGGTTACTTTGAAACTACTTATTTGTGTGCCTTTTGATCTCTGCCCCTTGAGGACGTTCAAACAGGACATGCCAATATTTTGAAGCAGGTTTTACAGGTAAAGTTTTCATTTACATATAAGAGTGGTTCATTCATACATTTCTCTGGGGTTTCAATTTTGGCAATTAATTAGTTAGAAGAAGATTAGTAGTGTTTTATTCATTTGCGCCTTTTTTTGGTTTGTGTGGCAATAATTTGAAAATATTACAAATGTTTTTGCTTTTGGGAAACATGTGTGTAGTTAAGGTCAATGTTATTTTGACATTGCATGTCATTTTTTGTGTGTTTTGTTTGTGTTGCAACATGTGTTACAAGTTGCTGTTTTTTTACTTCTTTCGATAAGTAACATTTGTTGTAATAAACTAATTAGCAAAACTACTGGGGGAATAAAAGTTCTAGGAACAGTTTTAATTTAAATGAGAACTTCTACAATTACTTGAATAATTTATTTGAATTTCTATCTCTCTCTATATATATCAGACCCAATGTTAACCACTTCAAAAGTGGTGAACATACTTTAGTTTATTTTTCAAAACGAAAACATCCTTTAGTTTTAATTCATAAATACTTAAAAACTTTACTCTTTTTCAAAAATATTTACCATTCATTAAAAAAACGTTATCTCCATTATTTGATTTATCTCTTTTTACAATGATTTTCTTCATTGTTTGAAATCAAAAACCTACTATTGTAATAATGATCTCTTAACTCTTTTTTTTTTCTTCTTTAACTGGTAATAAATCCCATTGTGTTGTTCATATTTAAAGTACTTTTACGTGTTGTTGCGGGGGAAAAAAAACTAAAAAATGATAATGATTCAAAATCTTTATTCATGTATGAGTTTTAAATGAAGTCATTAGAAAATCATATTTTTCAAAAAATCTTGTTAACAAAAGAAAATCGTTTCTTTTTTGTAAACGTAAAAACAAATTGTTTTGCTCCAGTTTTTTATTTTGGAATACTCTACTCCATAATCTATGCCTTTGTTTCTTTAATGAATTGATTGAGTTATTTTAATTTGATTAATTCGTTAAGTAATTTTAACTCTTTTTTTCTTATTTGTTGTTACTCTATACGTTCATTAGGCTTCTGGCGAAACTAAATTAAAGTTTTTTTAGTTTTTAGCTTTTTTATTAATAAAATGGTTCTATCGATACTACAATGGAATAAGTTTCTTTGAAATTAAGGAACTTGTTCCCGTTACCTGTATATTTTTAAGCAACACATGTTCTTTTATCAAGCACACACCCATTTGTGATCGATTGGCCAGTGGACCCCAGAACACATTAAACAGAAAATTTATACTGTTCGTATGTGGAACAAACTTCCTGCAGAAGTATTCCCCATCACTTTCATAGTTCCAACACAATGCTCTGTGTAAACAGATGTCATCACCTGAGTGTTGCGCCAACAAAAATAATATAATATATTGACTAAAACTAATCTATCGACTAGTCCATGGATTATTTATTCACCTATAGATTAGCTTAGGGTTTAGTCTATTGACTATTCTATTGATTAGTCTATGGAACAGTCTAAGAACTGACTTGTCTATGGACTAGTTTAAGAATTAGTCTTTGGACTAGTCTAAGATCGAATCTATGGACTAGTCTAAGAACTTGTCTATGGACTAGTCTATGGTCTAGTCTATGTACTAATCTAAGAACTAGACTAAAAACTGGTCAACGGACTAGTTTATGGATTAGTCTAAGAACTAGTCTATGGAATAGTTTAAGAACTTGTCAACTGACTAGTCTATGGTCTAGTCTAAGATCTATTATATGAACTAGTGTAAGAACTAGTATATGTACTTGTCCATGGACTAGTATGTGGACTTGTTAAAAAACTAGTCTATGGAACTAATAACTAGTCTATGGTTTAGTCTATAGACTAGTCTAAGAAACTCTCTATGGACTAGTCTAAGAACTGACTAGTCTATGGTCTAGTATATGAACTATACTATGGACTAGTTTAAAAGCTAGTATATGGACTAGTTTTAGAAAGAATCTAAAAACTAGTCTATGGACTAGTCTAAGAACTGCTCTATGGACTTGTCTAAGAAATAATCTATGCACTAGTCTATGATCTAGTATATGGACTAGTCTAAGAACTAGTCTAAAAACTAGTCTATGGACTAGTGTAAGAACTAGTATAAAAACTATTCTATGGACTAGTCGGAGAACTAGTCTAAGAACTATTTTATAGACTAGTCTAAAAACTAGTCTATGGACTAGAATAAGAACTAGTCTATGGGCTAGTCTAAGAACTAGTCTATGGACAAGTCTAAGAACTAGCCTAAGAACTAGAACTATTCTTTTAATAGAAAACATTTGGAAAAAATTTTCATAACTACCTTTGATATTTAGCTCATAAAACCACATGTGTAAAAAGGGATCACATAATAAAAAAGGGTTAATTAAACTGCTGACTTTTTGTATTATAACAACAGAAAAAGGTTTATTAATGGCGCGTGTCATTTTCTCTAAATCTTCTGTAAAATCTTTTTAAAAATATTTTACTTTTTAAAACCCAGCTAATAATGAAAATCTTAATAATTAAAGATTTTGATCAAAATTATTATTATTTTTTTTACTATAGACCAGTTTTTTGTAATTAACAAAAAAAAAACGTTAAGAAAAAAAATCTCATTAATATTTTTAAAATTATTAAATACAACAAGACTGTACTTATGTCCTCGTTTATGTTTGTTGTTGTTATTGTTTCTGGACATTATTTTGCTGCTGCGTCACGCTTGATTAAGTGTCATTTC